GACATGTTGCCAAAATATCACCCGGTTAATGAATAACTTCCGGTACTTTCATTGTATTCGCATTGACCAATCAAATCACGTTCTGAGTTGGATTATCCCAGGGCTTCTGAGAGCAATAAGCGCAGAAGCCCTGGGTACGAGGTTGAAACTTTCCAATAAAACGGTTCGAATAATCATACGTCATTAATTTTGAATTTCTTGGTCAAAATAACCATATGAATGAAATGAATTGTAACCTGCTGTAGTTTTTGCACCATCTCGTTCCCAGGCTCCGCGCTTAAGCCGGGTAGGAGAGCAGGGGAAGATACCTGGAACAAGGTTGATCCTTGCATTGCAAAACATGACTGAGTGGTGATCGAAAAAATATCGTCTACTTTTGCCAATTCCGATCGGCTACCGATACACAATATTAAATTAAGCCGATTTATTATTTGAATGCTGGGTTTGGTAAAATGCAACACTAAATCCTCTGGCAGGAATCGCAGAATCGCTGCCAGTGGACCTGTATTTTTCGCAAGTGTTTCTTGTTAGGTCTTGAATTGTGTATGTATATGGTTACCAACAAAACCCTCGATTGACAAAAACCCCGCCAATTATCTACCAAACCCAGCATTCAAGTTTAACCATGCAAGTGAAGTACACAAAAATAACTTCCAAGTTCGATTTATCAGTTGTTCGCCATTCACAGCCTATAAAGAAACTCAATCTCTACTAACATTCCAAATGTTTTTTAAATCAGCGAACGAAACTACGCAGCAACCCTCAGCAATAATCTTATGAAATCAGTTATCTTCGTATTTAAACCTGTGGTTATATCTTGTTAGTTATCAGAAATGGTGAGAGAAATCCGATCCCAGAACAGATTATTACTAACAGGCACGCCATTACAGAACAATCTTCATGAACTTTGGGCATTGTTGAACTTTTTACTTCCTGATGTTTTCAGTTCAGCAGAGGTAAGATTAGTGTTTAAGAGAAATGTAATTTAAATGACTCTGGCTGTTTTGGTTAAGAAAATATTTATGTCACATTCTTTCTTGGAAATTTGTAGGATTTTGATGCGTGGTTTAATTCTAATAATTTAGTAGAAGAAAAACAATTGGTTGAAAGACTTCATTCGGTACGTATATCATTATCAACTCGCCCTGTCCAACTGTCGTAAAAGCCTATATCTCACGCATGCGCTGCTTGATTACCTCTAGCGCCAGTGAGCTCTATATATCTGGAGCAAGAACTTCAGTCATTCATGAGAAGGTGAAGCCAAGATGGCGGCCATTGACGTCCAATAGTTCTGAAGGTCGTAAACAGTTTTAATAACATTCTCCCAGCTTATTCCAGTTTTTTAAAACACGGAATTTTGGCACACTCCTTGCGGCTTCGTGTTAAATGCGCAGACAAAAACAGTAGAAAAGGGGCTGAAACTGACGTCCAAGAGCACTATCTTGGCTTCACTTTATGAACTCAAGTTCTCCAAATATATGCAGAGCTGACTGTCTTGCGCTCAAGGCCGGATTTTGGTGGAAATAGTGGGGGAGGTGGAAAAAAATTTAGGGGAGGTGCAGCGGTATAGCTCAGGCCCCCATCGAAAGTTAGGTCTTAGAACGGGCTAAAGTCAACGACGTGACGTATATGCATGTAGTGTGTATCAGTGTATTAATGAATTATGACTGTACAACTCATCCAATTTTACCCTTCATTACAATTACTGCAAAGTTTCTTTCAAAACATTGCATTGAAAGGGTACTTGACACAGAGATGAATGGCTATCACTGTTTCAATTTTACAGAAAAACTTTCTTACGAAGTGTAGACCGTAAGCAACCAAAAAATGTAAAATTTTCACTTTGTTCTATCATTGAAACTTTTCTAAGGGGAGGTGCATGATTTTTCAGGGGATAGGTGCAAAAATTCTCAGGGAAGATGCAAAACGATCTCAGGGGAGGTGCGCACCTCCCCCACCCCTCCCCTCAAAATCCGGCCATGCTTGCGCTGCCTTGTTACCCTCTAGTGCTATTCCTAAAGAAGCCTCTGGTGGGAAGAGTTCACAGCCAATGTGTTTCTACACTATAAGTTCAATTATAAATATTTTAAAATATTACCTATCGAGCGTTGGCTATCAAGCGCCTTGAAACAAGACTGCTGATGAAAACAAAATTTTTAGGTTTTGAGACCGTTCTTGTTACGACGTTTGAAATCTGACGTGGAGAAAGGGCTTCTACCAAAGAAAGAGACAAAGATTTACGTTGGACTGACAAAAATGCAGAGATCTTGGTATGTTTGTAATAACATTGAGTCGTATGATTATAACACTGTATAAAATAAGGAAGGATGAAACTAAACCTGAAAAATACAAGAACTACGACATTCTGAGCGAAGCCCTTCATCAGGAAGTTAATAGGGAGCTTAAGCATGTAGGACGGTAACACGACGACGACGGCCAAAACAAATTCCTTCAAATAAATGAGAGTAAAGAAAACTTGTCGTATATTATAATTCGTATGAATTTAATACAGTATAAGAAGTTGAAAGCATTGGCTTTATGTTTGGGAAGAGTTCTACTGAACCGAATTTTAAGTTGCACTTGTTACGGTTTGAAATGCAGGCGTTGTATAAAGACGTGAAAATCTGTGATTTGCCGTTGTAAACAAAGCGAAGACTACGTCTGAAACTCCCCCGGGACTTTATTTATTTGTTTTCATTGACTCATTGTATTGGTTGCCGTCGTCGTCGTGTTGCCGTCCTACAGTACATGCTGAAGCTCCATAATAGCGGTTAGAAATGGCGAAGGGCCTTCGCTCGAAATGTCGAAGTTCGCCTTGTATTTTTCAGGTAGTTGCATCCCTATTCATCCCCATCTTTCTTATTATTGGCACTACTTATACTCGTCTGCCACTCGTAGAAATATTGACCATTCAATAAGAAAGGCCTTATGTAGCCCCTTTGTGTATATACTACTTTTCCAGTTTCAACCTTCAGCTTAAATGATAATAGTCAACATGCTTTCTTAGGTATACTAATATATTAATGAAAGATATCGATGTCGTGAACGGAGCTGGCAAGTCAGACAAAATGAGATTGCTAAACATTCTGATGCAGTTACGAAAATGTTGTAATCATCCTTATCTTTTTGATGGGGCAGAACCAGGTATTAGATCCAATAAAAATATGTTCTAAAAATCAATCAGGCTTTTTTTTCGGGGATTTTTTAGGGCCGTTAAACGGCCCCAAAAACTCTATCTTGAATTGAGTTTTGAAACTCAATCTTCTCACCAAAGTTTCAGTGCAGTAAAAATGATGTTGTTTGAGTTAAATTCGTGACGTGTGGAAATTAGTTTTCAGTTGGAAACCCGACAATAGACAATTCCCATTATAGACTAATTTTAAAACTAGGCAAGGAGATCACAAAAGTATACAAAATTTGCGAACTTTGCAAGGCTATATTTTCCTCATTTTACAACATTTCGCAACCAAACTTTGTAATTTTACTAATTTTAGTATGCTCTCTCTAGCTGTGGTGATTTATTTGAGTTTCCTTGCCTAATTTTAAAATTAATCTATAATGGGAATTGTCTATTAAGAAAAAATGGCTGGAATTCATCTCACAACATAAGAAAAACTATGCATTCACCATCTTTAACCAGTTTATAGTGTCCCTGCTTTAACACATTCAGTCTCAACTACATTTATTGAGTATACGTGTCAGCCCCCGGTGGGGGGGAGGGGTGCAGCCACTCCATCTGTTCAGCTAAACTCAATCTTCTCTGCAAAAACGGATCCAAGAGAAAATCCTGAAAAAAACCCTGTCAATGTTATTTTGTTAGGTTATACAAAGCAGCATTTGCTGCAGTGTACACAAATAATGCTGTAGAAATCAATTTACTGTCTTATGCGTTTTTATGTTTTGTCCTCGCTAAATGAAAGGGACATTCTATTTGAATCGAAACCCACAGTATAACGTTGTGTAAACAATAGAATATGGAGATAACGTTTGCAACCTAGATAAATTACAATCCTGGAAAGAATTAATGATAGACGAGGTCGAACAAAAGATTGTGCTTTGTCAATGATATGCAGGTCGTCTGGTCGATTATAATTGCGATAGTTTAAAACCACGGTCCAGTTGTTTAAAAGCCGGTTTGTCTAATCCGAGGTTAACGAAATACTCAAAAACATATTTTCCGGCAATCTTGCTTGGATCGAAGTTTTATTTTCTGGCGTCTTGAAGTAAACGGATTTGAAGATGTCTCGAAACCAAAACAGCGGCTTAAATTTTAATCCAGGATTAGCACTAATCCAGATATGAACAACTGGGAATATCTGGGGATCTCACTCGATAGAACTTATTGCTGACGGGATTTGTAAATGGAATTTTCGAATGTGAATTTTTCTACATTTATTAGACTTTTAAAACCGACGACGTTTGGCGGGAATTTGACAGACATTAGGTATATATTCCCGTGTTTTTTTACGACGACTTTTGTTTTCCTATTTGTAGGTCCGCCATACACTACAGACCAGCATTTAGTCGACAATTCTGGCAAACTTCGCGTTCTTGATAAACTGTTACCTAAATTACAAGAACAAGATTCCCGTGTGCTGATATTTAGTCAAATGACAAGAGTGCTGGACATATTAGAAGATTATTGTTTATGGAAACAATATAATTATTGCCGTCTGGATGGTCAAACGCCACATGAAGAAAGACAAATTTCTATTAATGACTTTAATATGCCTAACAGTGAGAAGTTTATATTTATGTTAAGTACACGAGCTGGAGGATTGGGTATTAATCTGGCGACGGCTGATATTGTTATCTTGTTCGACAGTGATTGGAATCCCCAGGTTGATCTGCAAGCTATGGTACGTATTCATATTGATATAAAATATTGAATATCCCAGAGCTATTCAAAGGGATATTCCCATGCAAATTTGAAAACATTTTATGCGCTAATATTTACTGATTAAACTTTTCGTAATCCTATTACTAATTTTTACAATAGTTATATAGTTAATCCCTGGGCAAACTAGGAAACATTGTTGTGGAAACATTTGTGATTCTCGATGTTTCCTCAAATATTTCCCTGTTTGCCCACCCGTGGAAACACTGTTGCGTAAACAAAATTTGCTTCCCGAGAAGCAAAAATGTTTCCTAGCGAATTCAGAAACATTTGATGTTTCCCTATGTTTCTCACTAATGTTTCCTAGTGTTTGCCCACTCTGGGAAACATGGCGAAACATTGATAGGAAACAATGTTTCCGCAACAATGTTTCCTAGTTTGCCCAGGGCTTTAGTTTGATGTATTACGTTTCCACACCAGGATCGCGCACATCGTATTGGTCAAAAGAAGCAAGTGCAGATATTTCGCTTCATTACGGAGAGTACTGTTGAAGAACGTATTGTTGAGAGAGCAGAAATGAAGTTACGTCTTGATAATGTCGTTATTCAACAAGGTAATGCTTAGCACGAACTGTCAGTGTAGGTAGTGCCAATAATAACAAACTTTCGTTGGAAGGGATGCATCTACCTGAAAAACATAAGGAGCCCTTCATCTGGAGTTTCTCAATGCTTATCACGAACTCGTGTTTAATGTTTACTCCATATCTTGGATCTGTTGAGATGTGACGTGAAATTAGCTGAACAACTGATGTGGGTGTGCATAATCGCTCATGTTTACCGCTGGCTCATGTTCACCTGTACACGGCTAAAAACGCACAGGTTGTTCCAAGTTGATTTCGACAGGTGTGAACAATGTTGTGCGGCCAACTATGAAATAGTTGTCAACCATGTTGATCCAAGTTGTTACAGTTGAACAATGCTGTAACAACATGTTGACAATACTGTTCATAGTGGGCCGCACAACCTTGTTCACGCCTGTTGATATCAACCTGGAACAAGTTGTTGATTTTCTCAATTTTTACGCGTGTACCTATTTACACGGCATAAATGATTAATTTTGCATGTACAATCTGTTAAACCTAGGGGGAAAAACTCAATGCCAAGCTGATCTAAATATCAAACATGTTCAAGTTTCATGCATGTGCTCGTCTGGCGGAGCGTCATGCTAGAAATTGATAGTTCTGAATTAAAAACCGTCTCTAAATCATATTGGGGTCGGTAGTATACGAAGGCCGGATAGTGCTATTCAACCATCGTAAAATGCTTGAAAAGTTATAAAACTACGAATATGGATCCCACAATAAATAAAAGGAAACTTTAATCTGGGTTATACTGGTGCGCTGGATAACGCTTTCCGTCACAACGTTAAGCGAAGATTTTCACGTCTTTGCAACGTGAAAGCTCATGGGCGACGTTAGATGTGTTACACAAAATCAGCCTTATATCAAACACCACATCGTTTCTCCTGAACTTTGCTGTTTGTGACGTTATTTTAAAAAGCTTCAAGCATTTATTACAGTAATCAAAGTACTTAGCGCTCATTCCTGAGATGAAATGAGACCGTGTCGTCGAGTTTGCCGCAACGTATAGATCTAAAACTCCCTATTGTGTAGTTTAGTGATTTTCATTATTTTTACGTTATTTGTAATTTCATCCAGGTCGACTGGTCGATCCTAATCTAAAGGTTGGCAAACAAGAAATGTTGAGTATGATTCGACATGGTGCTGACGAAGTTTTTGCTTCAAAAGATTGTGAACTGACTGATGAAGATATTGATGTGATCTTGAAGAGAGGTGCAGTCAAGGTGGGAATGAAAACTTGACGTTGTTTCATACTGTAACCATGCATCTGCTCAACTACCAAGTTCAGATGGTGTTTTACCTGAGATCAACTCTCTAATTTCTAAGAATTATTACAAAATAATTAGTGTTTCATTGTAAACATGTAATGCCAGGGCAAAGTAACTATTCTATAAGTTGGAGGAATTACATTGACGGAGTGGTTGAGTATTTACATACGTTGCTCCCACAAAGTGTAATGATTGATGTGTTAAAAGATTCGATGACTGAAGTTTACAGCAATAAAGAGTTGAAATATCTCGGGCAACCGAAATTCACACCCCCAAATTTTCGCCACTGTTGACCAATAGAACTAACACACGCACATTGATTGATTATATTTTAATATCATTTTCTAGACGGCTGAGTTAGAAGAAAAAATGAAACAGTTTGGCGAAAGTACAGCAAAGAAACTTACTTTAGATTCTGTTCCTGTCGAAAGTATATTTCATTTTGAAGGAGAAAATTACAAAGAAAAGCAAAAGGTATATATTGCTATACTATACAAGGTCCGTTTACAATTGCAATTTTTGCTGCGATTTTCAATGCGATTTTCTTCTGATGGATGAGTTATGTTCAGATGAGTGTACTCAGCAATGATAACTCATCTACTCGTTCACATCCATCAGAAGTAGGAAATCGCACCAGAAATCGCAGCAAAATTTGCAAGTGTAAAGGCGGTTTTCCAGTCCTCGCACGAAGCTCCACGCAATAGGCAATTCCAGCTTTTAGTTTATGCCTGCAGGGGATGATGGGAAGTAAGTTATCATATTGCCGATTATGCTGAAAAATTTCAATAAAAACTGCCGAAACAACCGAAATATTTCAATATTTACAAGTACGAGCTCTCACTCCGTGTTTACACGGCCACCATTTTTTTATTTTTTCAGCATAATCAGCAATATGATACCTTACTTCCCATCATTCCCTCCACGCATAAACTAAAAGCTGGAATTGCCTATTCGCTGCGAGTGCATGCATAAGCACTTTCATCCAATCACAATGTTTAAGAGTTCATTTTAATTAGATCGAGCTTCGTGCGAGGACTGGAATTGCGCCTTAACGTGCGAGGACTGGAATTGTGCCTTAATATTGACCTCATATACGTCATGGTCACCTGGACAGAATGAGCTAGTGGCTCTATTTCTAGTGTGCATGTGTTTGTAGAACGAGTGCTAAGGTTGGATTAATATTAAAAGGAGTGAATACTACGGACATTACATTGCTTCTACCGTAGACTTCAAAGTTCTTTCAAATCATGTCATTACTAAAGACAGTAAAAGCTAGGGGGAAATTTTGACGCGGACTTGCGGCAAGTGTATATGTTCCGTATTGCGTCTTGTAATGGAATTTATTCTTTTAAACTTAGTTCGAATTTATTGTGTGTTTTTAGTTTCCAGGCGTATCTCATTGGATCGAACCTCCAAAACGGGAGCGTAAAGCCAACTATGCTGTCGATGCTTACTTCAGAGAGGCTCTGCGTATTACAGAACCCAAGGCTCCAAAGGTATTTAACTTGGCTTTAAAAATTATACACTTAATTTCGTAAGAAGTCAAACTGATCCAAAACCAGTTTATGAATGATGGTTATACAGGCAGACATGTTGCTTTACTTGTTCTTGGTAGGAATACATTTATGTGTTTTTAAAGTTTTGAACTTTAATATTCTTTCATATATGTCAGATAGGTACAATTTTCGCCTTTTCTCCTATCTTATCAATTCCAATGTATTTTTATTGTAATTTTCCATACAGGCTCCACGTCCACCTAAACAACCTAACGTGCAGGATTATCAATTCTTTCCACCAAGACTTTTCGAGTTATTGGACATGGAAATTTACGCATTCAGAAAGAACATTGGTTATAAGGTATGCGTGCATGTGGTACAGACTCTTGATAAGTTGGTGCAATTGCTCAAAGAATACACGAGCGGTTGTCTAGAAACCACAGTGTTTGAATCTCGAATTTTCGTTGTTCTCTGTAGTGTCAGAATTTATGTGAAAATCTTATATCTCTGAGGATTATTACTCGCTGCCCAGGCACGCATTTTTGGTTGATAGTGGTTTTCCGATCGTCATCGATAGCCACAAAATAGAATATTAATGAGCTCCCAAATTTTGCCTAGATCATCCATAAATAACCCTACGTTTTGAGGAAAATTCGAGAATTTTATTAAAAAAGCCAAAGCTGCTGTTTACGAATATTTACGAATATTTTTACGTTCTTTTAAAACAGCTTTTTTACGGCATTGAGGATTGAACGACAAGAATAATGAATGTAAAGATGTATTAATGCCAAATAAATCCTGTCAAGCGGTCAAAATGACATCTTATAGCCCGACAAAAACAGAAATACAAAGACAGCAATGCACAGAACAATTGTATGAAATATAAGCATGTCGAACATGATATTTTAATGTGACATGAACTCGAACAGTCTGTGCCAGTGTAGGTAGTGACATAACACCAGAAATGGGATTCAACTACCTGAAAAACACAAGTAAAACATCGACGTTTCGAG